CCCGCGGAGCCGCCATGTGCCCACCTGCCCTGCGCGGCCGCGGAGGGGCGCGGAGTCACTTACTGTTCTGCGTGTTGGGCCGGGAGAGCGGTATCCCACGGGGCTCGCCTATAGTGCTCTATGAGCGACAAGAGAGGCGTTAATCAGGGCAGGCAGCGCACACGCTCACGCCGCGCGTAGGCTAAGGGCTCGGGCAAGGCTTGCGTTCTTATCCTTAGGCACCTTCGCCAGTTAGTCTAAAGCTTTGGGGGCAAAAATATACACATATACCTCTACATAAATATATATATATATATATATATATATATAATGGAGGCCGAGCTCCGAGTGCTTTAGTTGTAATTGCGTGCGAGAAGCCCCTCGTTAACGTCCTTCTCCCAAGCGGTGCCTTGCGCGCAGCGATCACAAAGCGAGTTCGGAGCGGCGGCTCTCAACTTGCCTGGGTGCTGGGCGCGCAGTCCTCGCACGCAGTTTGGGGCCTCGCACATCTGCGTGCCACTAGTTAGAGTCTTCCCTCTAGGATAAAGCAGAAAAGTGCGTTAGGAGCGGGGCGGAGGGGCGTGGAGGGGCGCGCAGCGGAGCGGGCCACTCCTGCCCCCCACTCGCCCACGCTCCGCGTTCCTTGGGAGGCTGCGCGGAGCGGAGTGGCCCGGCGCGCTCGGGGCCCGTTTTTTTTTTTCTTTTTCTTTTTTCCTTTTTTAAAATATATTTCCTTTTTTTTTCCTTCATTTGTTTTTCTTTTTATTTATTTATTTTTATTTTTTTCCCTGCCGCGGCCCCGGCAACTTTTTCTTTTCCTCTCTCCCGCGAACTCGCCGTATTGTGATTAACTTCTTTTTTGGTCTTTAGATCTTCCCCTTTTTCACTGTACTGTGACACACGCTGTCTACCTCGCCTCAGTGCTTTAAAAAGTAAGAACAGGAGGGGGTGAGAAGTGTGGAACAAAGCGCAGAGAAAGGGAACAATGGGCTCCTTTCTGCTCCTCTACCCAAACCCGAGCGCGGGGACCCGGCTCCTCCAGCACCCGCGCAGCTTCCCAACTGAACGGACCAACAACCCTCCAACTTACAAAGAGCGCAGAAGCAGCCCCCTTCTCCCTTCATTAGCGCCTGCCTTGACCCAGCGCCTGGACAGTCCCAAGCGCCTCTATTTTTTTTTCCTCCTCCCCCCCGCCTTCCTTTCCCTGCTCCCTCTCTCCTCCTCTCTCCACCTTCTCCCCCCCGCGGCCTTCACTTATTTATTTATTTATGCACCCCGTGTATTTATTTGCAGCGCTCGCCGGTGAAAATGGAAAAGTAATTTCTCTTTATAAATATCTGTCGGTAATTGTGTTACTGGTGCGAGTTGTTAGGGGTTGTAAAAAGATACAACAGCTCGGTGGGGTGCTCAATTGGGGAGGGACAATTACAATAAAGAACCCATTCAAGGGGGCTGCTAAAAAAAAAAGGAAAAAAAAAGGAGGTAAAATAATGAAATAGTCGCAGCCTTCATTTTCTCTCTCTCTCTCTCTCTTTTTTAGTCTAAAAATACTCGTTGTCTTTCTTATGCGCCTATAATGAATATTAATTTTACTCTTCCCGCATACGAGGGAGAATTCAAAGATGCATGTTCCCCCATTCAGGACTAGCCATGGTGTAATTTATTAAGCAGTTTTTAGCAATCCGAAATCCATAAAAAATAAACATCAAACAAGCACTTTCCCGCAGCGTCCTGGTAAATATTTACCGCTCCTGGGAGAACTACCTGATTAGCAGGGCCCTGTGGCCGCGTCTGCTGCGCGCGAGGGAGGCCGGAGCCTTTCCCCCCCCGCCCCCCGTTATCACACGCGTTTGCACCGCACACCGCGCACGGGAAACGCGCTGCTCCGCGCCGACTTTGCCCCCGTGTTTAGCGCCCAGCGCGGGGCCTAGGGGGTTAAGGAGCCATCCAGGAACCCGCCGTTCAACTTCCAGCCGCCGCACGCACCTCCGGAACCACAACGGGAGCGTTTAAATGAGAGGAAAGCGCCACGGAGCCGAACAAAACACCGCGCCCGGCAGCACCGAAATCCGCCCCGCGCAGCGCCGCGGACAGACGAGAGAGGAAGGGAGGGAGGGAGGGTGGGAGCGCCAAGCCGGGCCCGCCGGGGTGTCCTGAGGCACCCGTGGCTGGGAGAACCAGCGGGGGGGCTGGGGGGACGCGAGAGGGGCCCCCCGGCAGCAGGAGGGGCCCCGGTGCCACCGGCGCCGCCAGCGTAGCGCGACCCGCGGAGCCAGCGCGGGCCAGGCCCAGGCTCCGAGGCGGGGTTAATCCCGCCCTCCTGAGCTGATCTCATCGCTTCAGGAATTTTTTTTCCCTCTCTCGGTGAAAACATAATTCAGCTGACAAACTTTTACGTTGTTGGGACAAATGGGAGAAAGATAAAAACGAAACGCTTGGCGATTAAGCGTTGCGAAAGGTCACCGGCTATAAACATTTATTGTCAAGGGCCACTTTTATTATTTTATGTCCCTAAAGATGGAGAAGATGCAGACACTTTTATTTTCTAGGATGTTGCTATCGTTTTCTAAAGCAGCGGCTGCCAAGCTCATTTAATCACTCAGGAAACTTTGTTTATAAACTTTCTAGAAATTTTGCTCTCGCCCTGCGCGCCGATTCAACGCCTCCTTACAAAGTATGCAAGGTTAAATTCAAATCCAGCATTTCCAATTGCACTTGCGAGGCAAGAAAGAATCAAGTTTATTGTTGTGCTTCAGAGGAGACAAAAATAATATTTTTCTTTTTGAACGGCAAAGAGTTAGCAACTTATTAAAAATAAATAATAATGATGATAAAAAGAAGATAAAACGCTTGGCTGTATGGGTGGATTGCAGGCCCGTGTATTTCGAGGGGGGATTATGAGAGAAATAAACGAGATCATATTTCGGAAGAAAGAGCAAATATTTAAAGACCACGTCGCCTCAAAGGACGAGAAGCCCGCGGAGCAGCGCGGCGCTTTCGCGGCGCGCGAGCGCCGG